TTACGCGATCTGTGAGCTCTTGCAACGCGTCTGTGCGCGGTCTTGTAACGACACTTGACAACAAACATGCCGCCTCCGGCACAAGAGACTGCACCCTCAATGGCCCACGAAGATGTGGACCAAGCTCAAGTACTGAAGAGAAGAAAGATCCGGAAAGGAACCACAAGCTGCTGGCAGTGTATGCGTACCCTTTGTTTGGTCTTTTCTCTTTCTGAACTCCTTCTCTCGACTCTAATCTCAGTGCACTGGTTGATCTTCCACAGGCAAGAAACGAAAGACTCGCTGTCAATATGCCGTTCCCGCAAGCGATGTGTGTATTAGTTGCGATAGGCGCGGCACTGTGTGCCTGAGCCAAGAATTCCCTGAGAATTCGGCGGGCGGAAAGAAAGGCAAGGGAACACACCGGGATGTGGACGAAAGACTTAGAAGAACCGAGACTCTGATCGAACAATTACTGGGCGGCGTCACGCCGACATCTAGGAGCAGCAACCATGGAGGATTCAGCACGGTCATCCCGAATTCGGCGCTCGATAGTCTACCGTCCACTCCTCATACGACAAATTTCTCTCACCACGATGGCCTAACGATAACCCTCGAGGATGAGGTATGCTGCGTAGTGTGCCACTCCATGCACTTCTAGATGCTAACTTTGACGAGGCCATGTGTCAGGATGTTACCCCGGAGTTGTTTGACCCATTGTCTACAGCTACATCTGGGTCTGGCCTGAACGATGTCATCATGGAGCGAGACATCACTTCGAGGCAATTGCATGCATTACTTCCGAGCCAACGGGACGCACGCCTCATCATTGGTTCTGGGCACACAACTGCCTTTTTGCAATTCTTCACCGTGCCGTACGGGGATTTGTTTAAGAGCAGAATGAGATCTTCCGCTGCTCTCTCTGCATTACCCAGTCCGACAACCCACCCCATACTACTCATCCGTACGCTGTTATATCTGGCCAATGGTCTCCAGCAGCTCCATCCGTTGAGCCCAGAAGCCACGGAATTAGACCTTGGCTGCTCCCTTCAAGATGCAACAAGCCGATACATCACGGCCGCAAGCAACGCAATGAAGCATGATGAGCAGCTTCTCCAATCTTTGGAGGGTCTAGAATGTCTCATTCTACAGGGCGTGTACCATATCAATGCCGGTGATTTGAGGCCGGCATGGTTATGTTTCCGCCAGTGTATCAGCATGGCACAACTGATGGGTCTTCATTGTGGTGATCCAGATGACATTATAGTCTTGGATCCAGAAAGCATATCATCTCCAACTCTCATGTGGTACCGTATTATTCACCAAGACAGATACCTTTCCCTGATGCTTGGCGTTCCTGCTGGTACCTCGGGCAGCTATCGCGATTTCGACAACTTGTTGCAGGGAGACTGTGCAACAGGACGCTTAGAGTGCATGCATTCAGTGATCATGGGCCGCATCGTCGCACGTAATGAACAAAGGAGTTCTGATGACGAGTTCACAATCACACAAGAGATCGACTCGGCTCTTCGAAAAGCAGCCCGGTGTCTGCCCTCCCACTGGTGGTTGCTGCCAAATGCACGGTCCACGAGCAAAGGCAAAGCCACGGTGGAGGAGCAACTGCAGGACATCATGCGTACTCTTGTCCAGCTCACACATTTCAACCTACTTACTCTTCTTCACTTGCCTTACATGTTAAACATCCTCGGTGGTCGAAGCTACCAGTACAGTAAAACCGCCTGCGCCAGCGCCAGCCGGGAGCTACTGAGCCGTTACACTCGATTTCGATCCCTATATCAAAATGCTTTTTGCTGCCGCAGTATTGACTTCGCGGCTTTCACTGCGTGCCTTACCCTTTTACTGGCGCACCTCGAAAGCCATCGCGATGACTTCGGCACAATGGACTTTCTGGCTCACCAGCGCTTGAGCGACCGAGCCATGGTAGAGGAGACCATTGATCTTATGTTGGAATCAAGCTGTTCAGGAAATGATAGCGTATCGCAGCACACAGCAGACATTCTACGATGTCTACTCGGTATCGAGGCTGAAGCTGCAGATGGATGTAACCCCTCACAATTCAACAACTCCACTCCGGAAAGCCAACATAGATCTTCTATTCGTTTGATTCTTCCGCATCTAGGAAAAGTCGAGGTCGGGAGTGATGGAATCATCGCATTTGACTCATCACAACGAGCTTCCAGAATGGCTTCACCAATGCCGACAACCTGTGAGAAAACCACTGGCACATCTGGCCTAAGATCGCTGGAAAATCCAGTAATCACGGCTCTGCTCCCATTATCTCATCCTAATTCTTATACGCCCCAAATCCAAGCGGCGGCGGTAGCTTTTCCCAGAGAGGAACGATTAGAGGAGCATGATGTCCTAGATCCTGACTTGACGTCATGGCAAAAGCATCCATCAGATGATGGTAATAGACCGGACATCGCGGAGAGCAACGCTTGGGATATGCACAATATGGACGAGGAGCTTCTCAATAATCTACTTCAGAGCAATGACCTCATGCCAGAGAATGACGACGAAACTGCATTTGATATCAATGCACTTTTCAGCAAGTGAAGTAGAGTGATCCAGACAAGGCGGGAATGATTGTAAACTTTCGAGTTTGTTTCCTATCCAGGGCCCGCCTACCTCTATCTTATGCCCTCTTGCGACAACTACTTGGGACTTTCAGGTCTAGTATGAGGTTTGGTAATTCACTCGAACCAGCAGGCATCGAGTAGGTGAAGTTCCAGAATTCAAAATCTCGAATCAGCGAATCAGCGCCACCATATGAACCTGCGAAGCTCAATGCGTAGGTCATATTGACGTTGCCCGATACCCGAACGTTCAGGCCCTGAACATCACTCCAGCCTGATAGTGTCGGCTTTTCCGGGAAAGTGGCCACAACAAGCGAGAAAATGGACGACTCGGTTCCATTTGGATAGGTTAGGTTGAGTTTGTTGGGACTGACGACCGCGTTGAGCGCCTTCTCGGTTGGATACAACTTCACGCAACGCTTAGCCTCACGACCGCAGTTATAGAATGGGTGAACTTACGGAAATGAAAGCAATTTGATTACCAGCGGTCCACTGTACCACGGCAGGGTTGAAAGACTCCTGAGACGTGGACGGTCCACCTACAACATTTTCATTGTAAGACTCAGCGCCGATCGTCAGATTTGCAGATAACCACGTTGTTATGTTGCGGGGAGCATAGTCATAAGGTGGATAATAAGCCTGAGCGGTAAACGTTCGCTCCCCTGTGAAAGAGCTGATGGCATCAATTGTTCCTTTGGGCAACAGAGATTGGTGAAATTCGGCGAGAATCGCCATCAGTGGTGCCCACGCATAGTCAGCCGTGTGGGACATGACAAATGGCTGGGTTGTTAGCACTAGTTCCACGCATTCTTTGGGTTTGTGGTATACCTTTGAAATCAAGGATGAATTCTCCTTGCCAATTAATGTCCAGAACCATAGAGCCATCAGACTGAGGTAGCGATTCATGTCATATCCATATGCACGATCCCAAGGTCCTGCCATGTTTTTCATTCCCGGGTGCCAGAGTTGAGCTACTGCGGACCAGGTGTCACGCAGCATCTTCGGACCATACTGCGCCATCACTGAGTCAGAAGGCAAATATTTGCACCAGAGAGTCAGACCGAATAGCGAGACACCAGTATAGGTACCGCTATTGAACTCTGAGAGTGTGTTGAATTGCGTAAACAGGTCAATTATCTCCTGAGCGTAGGCCTCTCCAGCGTTCGTAAAATTCGCATCCTTCAACCGTCGGCCTGTCCATCCGGAAACGAATGCACGCATAATTGCCTATACGATGGTTAGTATCTACTGAAGTTGACCAGACATGAGTAGCTCTCGTGGGAGGCCTACTGGATTGCTATATGACGGATAGAGATTGTCACTATCAACGCCACCAACACGATAACTGTCTCCCACTGTGGCATTGGCAAGAGACTGAAGGATCAGAGTTTGAGTGCTGTTGCTCAACAAGCCCGAGAACTCTTCCAGAGCCATGATGAGCGTCGTGCCAACAAATCCTCTCCAGTTAGGGTCAAATGAGCCATAAATTTTCTTGGCATAGTGAATCGAGCCCACGTATGGCTCCTCCGGCTCCTGCTGGTAGTCACCATACCTTCCACTCCTTTAGCCAAATCTTCAGGACGCCACTGAGCTACCAAGGACTCACCACTGTTCTACGGGATCTTTGTACTGGCCAGCGATGGTGTTGGTTATAATCTTCTCCGCCTCGGCAACGTCGTTCCCCTCGTCCCTGGCTAACAATCCCAGCGCGTACCATACTGAGCTTCGCGTTTCATGCCTGAGGGCGGATGCACCGCCGAAGTCGTACAAGTAGCCAGCAAATGGGTCATAATAATCGTCCATCCATGACATGGACTCATTGAAGAGTTGCTGTGCATTGGGTGGCATGGACGAAACGTATGATGCGCTGCAAAAGCCTGCCAGCCCAGTGGCTATGAGAGCGTAGGGGACCATGGCCGCTTGCATGTCTATCGCATGACGACGACGGCTGACCTACCTAGCTTACAAGTAGGAGCATTGGCCTTCATATAAACGTACCTGCATCCCTGTACTTGTTATCTCAACAGTCTACTGTTAATCTATCATTCGGCTTCTCATTCGGGCGATCCCCGAAGCCCTCAATGACGCGCGCCGGCAGATGTAACCTTGAAAACATGGCGCTACCGAGGACCCCGCCGGAGAAATGTTGCGATCAACACTGAAATGAGATCCATTTTCAGGGATCTTACAGAGGCACCGGGCTCAATCTCCACGTCCACATGGCGCTAGAACACGGGGCATGCCCTGAAAGGATTGTAGCCCCGCTAGACCGCCGGCATGTGAAGAGGAAGTCGGCCGCCGCGGGACCTTCATCATGGATCAAAGTTGATCGAGCCGCTAAAGAGACATTGGGAATTGGTCGCAGCTGCAGGTTGCCCTCGTCTTATCTATTCTCTATCTCTATATCTACAACTAACTCTATTTCTATTCCTGTCCGGCTCCCGAACTCTTAGCTAATTTGGAAAACAGAGAGTCTTTGACTTTCAACAGCTTCTGAGGACTCCCCACCTCAGCTAGCCGGCCCGCGTCCATCACCATGACGATATCAGAGTCGATAATCGTGTTCAGTCGGTGAGCAACCGTCAAGATCGTGCAGTCTGCAAAATCCTCTCTTAGGATTCGTTGCATTGTTCCATCTGTCTCCGCATCCACGTTGCTTGTGGGTTCATCCAGGATCAGAATCTTGCCCTTTTTCAGCAATGCACGAGCCAGCGCAAGCAACTGTTGCTGTCCTTTTGACAAGGATGATGCGGTGATCTCAGCGTCCAGGCCACCTCTCTCGCTAAGCACGCCCCAAAGCCCAACTTTTGTGAGCGCTGTAATGATGGCGTCGTCGTCATTACTGCCCGCTGGGTCTGCATTTAATCGAACGCTCCCGATGAGAATCAAGGGATCTTGAGGAATCGTTATGAGGCGCTCCCTGACAGTGTCCCTCTGAATGGCGGCAAGATCCATGCCATCAATGAACACCTTTCCAGCAGTGACTTCAAGAAGCCCGAGGATTGTTCCCACAAATGAACTTTTACCGCTACAAAGGGATTAATAACGCTTCACCAATACTCATTTGGAACAGTCACTAACCTTCCTGTGCGCCCGCAAATGCCAACCTTCTGGCCGGATTCGACCGTCAAAGAGACATCATGAAGTGCGATGGCAGAGGGGCTAATGGAATATTAGTTTCATGTTCTTGTTGTAAACGCCAGTACTCACTTGTGCGCAGCTGTCACGTTTCGGAATTCAATGACACCAGTATTAGGCCAATGCTCGTCTGGTTCAGGTTTGTTATCTTCATCCTCTGGCTTGACGTCCTCCTGGAAGTCCTTCAGTCTCGCAATCGAGCCAAGAGAGGTTTCGAGCAGTGTCCATCCCTGTACCATGGCCGATAAGCTGTTGTTGAAGGCTTCATGATGTCAGTTTTGGATTTCCAGAAAAGGGATGGCGAACTCACAAAGGATGTTGTTTAACGATACTCCTAGTAACCCTGCTGTTGTCGAAGACTTGAGTCCTAAGGCTAAGCCAACTACAAGAACAGCTTCAGCTGTCACAATCAAATCTAGAACCAGGTTCAGCCACCGCTGGATACAATACAGCAGGTAATAAGGCCGCTGCGAGTAATCCAGGAGACGTTTGTTCGTCTCTTTGCTTTCTTGGTTCCATCCAAAAGCCCGGATGGTACTCAAGCCATTGAGCGATTCTAGGAAGTGTGAGTAAAGTGGGCTGCGCGCTTCCAAGTCTAACAGCCGAAGCTGGCGCGACGTTCTGAGGTAGACATGCTGCAGGCCCCAGATGACAAATATGAGTAGAGGGATTGTGGCGGCCATGTATGTTGATCCTGTGGCAATGAGAGCGGCTCCGGCCAACGACAGGAAGAGGTCTAAGATGCCGTTAGAGGAGGTATGGGAGCACAGAGGAAATTAAAATATACTTGAGACGGTGATAAGAACCCCAGTAGGAAGTTGACCTTCAATAAGTGTCATATCCTGGCTGAACCTATTCAGGATCGTGCCACTATCCGTGACAGAAAAGAAAGCCTGCGAAGCCCTTTATGGATTATGAGCATTTCGTCTTGGTGTGGGAATGCTTGGCGTTTGCCTACCTCATGACGGTCTTGAGAAGAATGTAGTGAAACTTCCGTGCTGTCGAGGGCCCGATCAGAACGCATATTGCCCTTCAGCAGTTAGTCACCGAAAGTCTTCCGGTCGTTATGAGTAGTCCACATACCACACATAGACAAACATCCCAAAGATGTTTGCTATGGAGACGACGAAATAGATGCTGATGTACAGCCCAATCTGACCGCCCCCGGCATCAGTCCACCACTTGAGCCAAATTTCTATTGTAGTCAGTAAAAGTAACTGAATCTATGAGCGGGCGAGGAGAACATACGACTGAAAGCGGACCCAAAAGCATTGACTGTCACGCCAATGAAGAATAGTGAGCCTTTCCACCAGCTGAATTGGCTGAAGTAGTAGCGATAAACGGATAGGTCGCCGGTTGCTCGAGTCAGGTCGTCGGCTTCGTTCACTTTCGAAGCTGCAGAGACTTTGTTGTCATTCTCCGTCTTTTCTTGGGTCGCCGCCTCGTCGTTTTGATCATGTGTCGACAAGTCTATCTTTTCAATGAGTTTGTGTCGCATTATCTGCTCATAAGTGCCTTCATGTTCAATTCGTCCGTTCCCTAGAACAAATACGTTGTCTGCATACGAGAGATATGCAACTATTTCCGTGTTAGTCGAGATCCTAAAGTGAAAAGACATAGTATGACAATTACCGTCGTGTGTGACGAGCACAACAGTTGAGCCCGGCCGCCTCAGGAGCCCAGTCTTCCCCATCAGTCTATTCATGACAGTTTTCTTTGTCCTTGCATCCAGTGCATTAAGCACGTCATCCAGCAATACAATCTCTGCGCGAGCATACACCGCCCTAGCAAGAGCCACGCGATGTTTCTGTCCTCCGCTGAGTACTGTGCTTCCGCTCCCCATCCCAGTTTGGTCTCCGTCGGGCAGTAGATTAAGATCATGGTCCAGAGCGCAAGCATGGATTGTTGACTGATACCACTTCTCGTCAAAGTTCTCGTCTGTCCCCGAGGGCCCGCAGATTACTTCGCGGATTGTTGCATTTGGAAGCCATGGCGTTTGCGAGCAGTATGCTATCCGCGAGCTGGATACAGAGACAACGCCTTTTTCAAGCGGGAGTTCACCCAACAAAGCTCTGAGGAGAGTGCTCTTCCCCGATGCTACTGAACCAATCACCATGGTCAAAGTATCCTTGGCTACGCTGAAGCTGATGTCTCGCAATAGGACGTCAACTTTGGGAGCTGGCGGGATATCCGCTTCTCCTACGTATATTGCCATAGAGTCTGATCGTTTGTCGCGTCGCTGCATTGGAGAAAGTGGCTTCAACTCTGCCGCACCAGCGTCGTCTGAGTCCAAAGACCGGCTGTTAGTGCTATCTGAGGACTGTCTCAGGCCCGATGACCCTACACATCGCGGATCACGTCGAGGCGGGGCAACCAGGAATGCTTGAATTCTGTCAAAGCAACCGAGGGTAGAGATAGTTGAAGGAACTGCAATAAGAAGGATAGCGGCGGGGTTCATGAGGAGTTGGATGATAGCCAGACTAGTAAAAGCCTGAGTAGTGCCGATGGAGGATGAGCCTCGCACAGTGGCCTGGATGGCATACACGGCGAATGTGAAGGCTGGAACCAGAGCTTCCGGGAAGTTTGCAACCACGTTGATCCACACGATGCACCATCTGTAGCCCGCCATGAGACGTGTTTCCCGGATTCTTTGGCCTTGAATGATGGACGTCATTAGTCGACTCAGGCCCATCATCTTAACGCTTTTCATCTCAGCTAGCATGGAACTTGTAAGTGAGATGCGCTGCTGGACTGCGTCCATCCAGACCTTTTGTCGGTTACTGATTGAACGGGAGATGAGGGTGCTCCCGCCACTAGAAGCTTTAAATGTGTTAGTTGGTGAGGTCTGAGAGAGTAGTAATTTGGGATATACCTAGGACCACGAGGATTGGCATGATGCACACCCATCCTAATTGCCGCGCAAGAAGATACATGCCAACAATAACTTCAATAGATCGAGCCCAGCATTCATTCAGATGAATGACACAGAGAGCTATACGATCGATATCAGTGCTCATTAACGTGACAGCTGCCGACTCATCATACAGTCCGTCCTGTAGCTCAAGCGTACGGTCGTAGATGAGAGAGACCGAGGCGCCTCTGAACATGGTAAGAAATCTGTAGAAGCGGTAATCGTAGTGAAGCTTCGTAATGGCTATCCCAAGATATATCAATGCTGCCGCTCCAATCAGGCCGTAGCCCACATAGAGACTCATCTCTCCATTCTTCTCGCTTAGGAGGTTCAGTGTCCGGGAGATGAGAAACGGCTGTGCAAAGGTGAATCCAATCAGCGCCGTTCTGGGGATAGCGGCAAGCATCAGCGGCCACCAAAAGGCACGACAAATCGCTAATGGATATTCGAACCGCCTCTCCGGTCTACTGCGCTTTCCCCACGCACGTTGGATATGTCGCCCCAGCTCGGTGGAGGTGAGTTCTTTTTCGAGAACGTAAAGTGCATCGAATGGAAGTAGACTGCGGAATCCGTGCTGAAACAAATCATTGAGCCACCATAAGAGGCTCCGGCTGATAATACCACTCGTTGACTCTGGTGGCAGATCACGATATTCAGTATGAAGATAGGCCCTCTTCTGATGCGCCTCGAGTAATAGTAGCACAACCTTTGTGGCTACGGCGGCGGTAAACACACCGGAGATCGCGGCTGCGTTGCCGCGCAGCCATAGAGTCCTTGTTTGTACGGCATCAAAGAGCACTGTAAATATTAAGTAGATCAATACAAGTGATGATGGCCGAACAGCTCTCTCGTCCTCTGCTCTAGACAAAGTCACGAGCAATAATGCCACTAGTAGATTGATAGCAGCCGAGGGCAACGATACAATCGTTCGCGCCGCATCGTCGCGAGCCCAGAGCACAACTAGTGCCAGCTGTAGAAGTGTGAATATTATTGTAATAGCCTGCCGAATCTTGTTAGAAGATGTGCACAAGCAATTTGAGGAACCGAGTGTTGCCAAACTAGTTTTGCATGGCGTGCGAAGCTGGCATTTGTGAGAGTCTTTCTTCTGAACAGATAGAAAATCCTAAAAGGAAAGGCCAGAGCACAGAATGCAGCCGGAATTAAAGTCAAGATACTTTGTTCAAACAACAAGGTGAAGTCGAAGCCGCCACGACACTCGACATCGACTGCTGGTCCGAACGCCGCGTCCGCGTGGGGCGGACAGGTTAAATTGGAGACCATTTTGTCGGACTAAGGATATGAAATGGCGGAGATTATTGAAGAGGCTGGCTGTCCCCAAGACCAGATATATGAAGCAAACGTAAATAGAGAGCAACGACACGCATCCTGGCGCCTGTAGTCTACATGCATGGAACTTGCGTGTTCTGGAAGAAAATTACACGACGTCGCTGACGTTTGCGCAAGGTGAAGTACCTGGCCACCAACTCCGATATGGGCGAGTACGTGATTTCCTGCACGGCATGACCAAGTGGGGAGGCCAGGCCTTTTCAAAACCCTTGACGAACTCCGATTCCGATGAAAAGGGCCCCCCTTGATCTAGTTGACTGACTCAGCCGGCCGGCCAATCGTTCTAGGTAGGTGACACAAAGATACGGCACAGGTTCCCATCCATTCCAGAGGCTCTTTTGAGACCCAAGCGTCCTGCCTAGAATGTTCGCTAATTCTTCTTTCCAATTTGAGGCATCAATTGAAATCCTTCTCCGTCTCTGTGACTTTCTTCGGCTCCGCATATTGGTCCGGCTCCGGAGAATCTGCGACGACAAGAGAGTACCGTCAATGCATCACTGATCCACAAGACGTTAAGATAAAAGGCGCACCAACACTGGTCTGCTCTATGTGTGGATGTTGAGTACCGGATGGGTGTGCGGGGTTGATGCCAGCTTTGTTAACGGAGCCCCCGATTCATAAGGTGACGTAGTAGTAGACCTCTAAGAGACTCAAGTCACTCAACCAGAACATTGGCTTGTACTTCACTATTACAGCATCACTGTATTGGTTCTACTGCATCATCGTAAATATGTCGCGATTGTCGGACTTTCGGCTCTTATCTTTCGATGTCTATGGGACTCTTATTGACTACGAGTCCGGGATACTGGCAGCTCTTCAGCCTTTGCTTGACGCCAACAATGCCAAAGACTTCCCGCCTCGAGACCTCTTAAAACTACACCATGAACTTGAAGCAGCACAACAAGTCAAGACCCCCGAGATGCCGTATCACGAACTTTTGACTACAGTCTACCCTCAACTCGCAGCGAGACTGGGCTTCAA